GTGGGGTCTGAGCCATACACGGAAGAATGCTCAGGCCCTGTACACACATACACAGATGAAAGGTGGGAGGAGATACGAAAGAGGTGGGGGAGGTAGAGGGCACCGAGAGTCACCGAGATAGAATCCGATAGGTCACCGATATGGTAGTCCAAAATGTCATCAACCAAGATCAAAATGTCGAGGACAATAAGTCACCAATGTCGGAGATACMGAGTCCAAATGTAACCGGTGTCCGAACTGTGATGCCGCCGAGTATCAACCCCAACAATCTCCAAGTCTATATGGTAAGTACCACAGTCTCATACCACCGAAGTCCAACACTGATCTCTGTCCAACTAGTATGAAGTCTCCAATCTGAAGAAGAAGAAGAAGAAGTCTGAAGAAGAAGAAGTCTGAAGAAGAAGGAGAAGAAGGAGAAGAAGAAGGGAGTCGAGGAGGAGGGAGAGAGAGAGGGGACTGGCGACGGGAGGGAGGAGAGAACCCTCGGCTCCCAGCACCTCAGGCGGCTATGGCCGCCGATATGCTTAGTCCTGCTGCTTCTGCTCCGCTCGCTGCCACTGTTGCGCTAATGCTGCCGCTGCTGCTCCTCGCACTCCTGCGCTAAGAATAGCGCTAGCGCTCTGGCGCTAACCATAACGCACCACATGGACTGCCGGTGGCTCGATGGCCGGAGTGAGGCCGGACCGGTACCTTTGTACCGGTGGGCAGAGGCCGGCCTCTATGCTGCGAGGCCTGGCCGTGCCCTGAACCGTCCAGATGGACGGTTCAGCCCCAACCGGCGGGCGGCAGCCTCAAGAGCGCCGCCAGGCCCAAACGGTAATGTCGTTTGGGCCTGCCCGTCGGGTCTGGTCCAAGATGAGGCCTTTACGACCTGTAGTCCCCAAGGTCGGGCCTTTAGGCCCTAATGTGTCCCTCTGGCCCTAAGTCGGGTCTTGTAGGACCCGTGTGGCGTCGAAGATGTAACACACTCCCCCTCTCAAAAGACCGAGCTACTTGCGAGGGCGAAGTTGTCTGTCCGATACCGGGATGGGTCGGGTGGGACGAGCTGCTTCCTTGGCAAGGCGTTGCTTCTCATAGTCGGCGAAGATAAGGGGTGCAAAAGTCTGCAAGTCTGCAGTAGAGATCCACCGAGTGTCGTCAGGCGCACATTGCTTGAATGTGACTTTGTACTGCATTGGCTTGTGGCCATACTTGCGGTGCGTGATGACTCGGTCCACTTCCTGATGTCTGTCCATGGACGGCGGATCCTTTGATCGACGGCAGGGGAACTCGTCAGCTGAAGGTGGAGTGTAGATGGCCAGCTTCAACGCGTGGAAGACCCGGTGCACTGTCACGTGCGGAGGAATGTTGATCACGAAGGAAGGACCTGCGGGGTAGTCTCCAACGACAGAAGTGACTTCCCATGGTCCGAACCATTTCGGAAGGAGTTTGTGCGAAACGTCCTGCTCGAGCGGAAATTCCTCGGAGAGGACCCAAACAAGGTCTCCCTCGTGGAAAGGACATGGAAGTCGACGTCGGTTAGCTTGCTGTTGCATGCGGATTTGAGCCTTTTGCATATTTGCGCGGGCTTTGATCAGCAAGTCCCGGTACTTCCGGACGGAAGCGGGAGAGCAAGGGACGTCTATGTCGGCAGCCTGTGGCAAAAGGAGATCAGCGAAGATCCGTGCTTTCTCTCCACCATGATGTAGCTCGAATGGTGTGACGCAGATCGCCGGATGCACCGAAGTGTTATAGGCGAACTCGATGTCGGGAAGCCGGTCAACCCAATCTTTCTGGTCGGGACGGATGAGCGTACGCAACATCATCTCAGCGGTTTGGTGCGCTCGCTCCGTCTGACCATTCGTCTGCGGGTGCCGAGCCGAGCTCGGCTTCATTGTCGTACCGGACTCAGCCATGAGGGAAGTCCAAAAGGCCGACATGAAACGAGTATCTCGGTCGCTCATTATGTCTTCCGGAACACCCTGGTTGGTAATCCAACCGGTGTGCAAGAGTCGTGCGAGCTCGGGTGCTGCAGCATGATACTTGCAAGGAAGGAAGCGAGCATACTTGCTCAAACGGTCAACAACCGTTAGAATACCGTCATGGCCGTGGCGATCGCGGGGGAACGGGCATGTCACGTCCATAGCAATGGAGAGGCGCGGTGCCCGAGGAATCGGCAATGGTTTCAGTTCGCCGAAGGGGACTCGAGATTGACCCTTGTTATGGTGGCAAACTGCACATGACTCAATGTACCTCGTGACGTCATGAAGGACGTCGGGCCAGTGAAAACGCTGGCGGAGGCGTGCTAGTGTGCGGTTCACGCCAAGGTGTGCCTAAAGTCGTGCGTCGTGGAATTCGCCGAGAAGACGAGTCCGTAAGATGCGATCTTGGGGCACAACTAACAAGTCCTTCCTCTCGTGTGAAGGAGAAGGAACCCGTCGGAAATCCGATAGTGGCTAGCCGGCGGGTGATCCGATGAAAGCTCCGCGTAAAGCGTTGAGTAAGTTGGATCAGACTTGTAGCCTTTGACGAAATGCGGCTGCAGATCGTCCTCGAGGTCGAATGCCGTGGTCACAATGGCACAAAAATCAGGCCGTCGTGAGAGGGCGTCCGCAGCTCGATTGGCGGGACCGGGAATGTGGCACGGGTCAAAGTCGAACTGGTCGATGTAATACATCCATCGACCGATCGTGCTAGTGACCATATCCTGCGTTTTGTAAAAGGTCAATGGATTGTTGTCCGTGTTCCATTTAAAACGCCGACGACCGAGAAGAAAGTGGCGCCACCGTTTAAGAACGGTGACGAACACGAGTAGCTCTTTCTTCCTAGCGTCGTCGAGAGTGTTGACGAGAGGCACCTTTTGGGAGAAATACTC